TAAGATTCTGTGTGGGTTTGTGCATAAGAACAAGTACCAGACTATGAAGGTTATATAATATAAATCAACAATTTAATTGTAGAAGAACAAAATAACAAATACAAATAATAGAACAACAAAATATAAATCTAACCTAAGTCTAATATTAGTAATACCGATGAACATAGAGGATTGCGATATTTCCTATCTCTATCCTCTGGTCTATCTTAATCTAACATGAGAGAGAGAGAGATATACAATAAATTTTACCTCGTTGTTCATGTTGGGACTTTTATCTCGTTGATTCTTTTCCTGGAGAGTGGAGTCGGGAGGACAGGATAAGCTGGTGGATGAGGAGCACGCACTCTAGCAATAATTTGAACGAACTCCCATCATATGGATCCTTATGGCGAGTCCCTAATGTTGCTCGGGCATTTCGTTGCGGACTGCCCCGAGTATCTGAAAACCTGCCTTTTTATCCACATTTTCTGCACCATCATGATTATCCGAAATGATGTGTCATTAGACCAGATGGGGTGCAAAATTCTAAGATACGAGGCGTGGAGGAAGGATACAAAACATCCTCATTTCTGGTTAAACTGCTGAGTAATCTAGCAGTTTTGCAGGATGTAAAAGTTTTATAACCTTATTAGGTTATGTTTTATTAATTCCCAAATTTTGTCATTTTTAAGCATTTTTAAGTGAAATTAAAATAATTTATTTGATTAAGGTTGTTTAAGGTAAAATTATATAAAATATCTCAAGAATACGGTCAGATTATCACATAATATTTGAATAATATCTTACGGCAATCCAAAGTTATCCATTTTTCAAATATGGTAAAAGTTTAAAAATAAGTTGTGTATATAAAGGTTTTTAAAATTTTCCACGTTTATTTGAATAAACAGAAAACAGTTTCCCTAATTGTACACTGCATTATGATACATTGTATCCCTAACTTTCAACGATTACAAATAGCGAAAAATTTTGAAATTCCATTGTTGGTTATAAAAATATAACGCAGTAGATGGTTTTCCTTATATTCTTTATGTAAAAACAACAACATTTCTATCGCCTACAGCAGTGTTTCTCGACGTCTAACGAATCGTCGCCCCCTTCAATAAAATAGTTACGTAGTATCGCCCCCTTCACTACAAAATTCCGATGCCGAAAGACAAGGCTAACGCCAAATTCATACTGCATCGAATAGACTAGTGACTAGTATAATGCTATTTATTTAATTATTGTACGATATAACGAATAAAATATCTAATTATTCTTAATATAATGTTTTACTATATCGCCCAGAAAATTGTTTTTCGCCCCAAAATACAAATTGTTACTGATCGCCCCCTCAACACGGAAAAACGCCTACATGGGGGCGATATCGCCCCCGTTGAAAAACACTGGCCTACAGCTACATACATAAATGAGAGTGTTTCTCTGTTTGTTTGTTCGCCATACACGCCTAGGCCGTTGCTATGTACTGTACTGTACAGTACTCTGCAGTTACATTCAAATACGTTAATCTTAATGTCGTACATACCATTCCAAAATATCTATTGCATTTCCATAAATCAATTAATCTATAAAATTGCGCCGCTGTCAATGGCTGCACGCCTTAGAGCACAGGTTCTCAAACTTATTACGATCACCGCCCACTTTGAGATTAAAAAAGAATCTAGTGCTCCCATATTTTTCAACTTACCTTTTTATATCACCATCTGTTGCGTATCTTAAAAACAGTTATTGCAAATATAATGTTTAAACACGCATTATTATATGGATAGTTTAGTTTAGTTGTCTAGTATTAGTTTAGTTTTGGATTCTAGATTAAGAGAGGAAAAAAAGGTTAATATGTATATGTATCGGGTCCTCACGTACCACGTAATCAGTATTATTATATTATATCATAGTATGCTGATATTTACATTTTCTCTGCGTATTAAAACTGTAACCAGTTCTTGATATTATTGTAACATTGCAGTGTTCGAAGTTATTTTCTACCTACCCATATGTGATGGGTTTTGCATTTTACTGTAACCGGACCATTTCTTCTAATTGTTAGCATTGTATAACGGTCTTGTCAACTTTTGTAATTATGGTTATTAATAATTTCCGATGCAGCGCTCTGAGGTCCTAAGAACTTTTTTCACCTTTACTTTTCCCCTTTTACTTTGTACCTCTCCCTTCAGAACTCTTCCTTCAACCTTTTCTTCACCCCTTTCTCTTCCTAGTGGGTTAAGTTTGCAAAAGCAGGCAGCCCCTCCTCCTTCTTTATTATTATTATTGTACGGATAAGATAGATAGGGTGTGACCCATATCCTATTTCTGAGATCAAAGAATGTTTCAATGAGAAGGAATAAAAGTCATATATCATCACTGAGCCTTCTACTGTCCCCCTGAAAACCTCCAGCACACACAAGGGGGCGTTATCGCCCACTTTGAGAAAGGATGCCTTAGACGGCTTACAGGTATGAAGGAGTACATGTCAGGAGTTGCAATTTGGCACAGAGTATTGGTGCCCAAATCGTGCGCACATAGAAAACCAGACTCGTAGGTAGTCGGGGGACCGAGAACCGAGTCAAAATAAAATATAAAGTGGCAATAAACAGGTGCTAGTGCGAGATTTGCGATTGCGTTGGCCGTTGGATATTTCGAAATGCCAACGTGGCGAAATGGAATTTTGACAAACGTGTGACGCACGTTACGCGTGTATTCTCTCGCTCTCGTCGTTTCGATTTTCTTATGTGTTGCAGACACCTCGTTCGGATCCCTTTGACCCATTAATTTCACCGAAAACGCCTGGTGGAAGTGGCCGTGGCCGGCGAAGTTTGAACGATCGCGCTCAAAACCAGCGATACCAAAGAAGATTGGAGAATGAGAATGACACCCGCCGTGAGCGTCCGAGTGATCCCGATTACCGTAGCCAAGTACAGGCCCGTGACAACGCAACCCGTCGTAATCTACGGCGGAAACGAAGCCCGCCGTAGGACCCCGAGTACCGGTGTCGGCTTTTCCTCATTGGAGAGCGCTCACATTTTTCTCTTTTCCTTAGAAAATGGTGCGCGATCGAGCCGCCGAGTCTCCGAAATGGCATTGCCGTAGTACTTGTTTCTATCTACATTCGATTTTCTGAGTTACACGTAGACAATGTATTGATAAAAAACTTAACAAAATAATTAACTAAATATAATTCTTACGAAAAAAAATATAATTTAAAAAATTTTATATTTTATTCATTTAATTACTGCGACAATGACAGCGCAAAATAGACGCGCTATATCATTACTGAGAGAGGTAACGCGTAGCACTCGCCTGCATGGAATGGAAAGTGTTTAAGCCTGTAAAACTCTGTAAATGGCCCATAAGTATTTGATTTACCACATCAAACCGCTCGGATTTTTTTCATTTCTGAACGTACTTTCCTAACTGTAATAAGCGTCCTCCACTAGCCGAATGGATGAAATCACCGAACACCAATAGTTTGAGCACGGCCGCCGGCCAACCAAATCCACGAATAACTAACACTTTTCCGGGTTTTATTCATTTTAGTAACACTTAAATAAGGGCAAGCTTTACGTAAAAGCGTTGCCGGGATCATTCCTCTCCGGAGACAGGTCGACGTGTAGCGTTGCCTTAACAAAATAAACCAAACTAATTCAAAAAAGCGATTATTTATTGTGACACGGGCTGCGATTTTTCGTCAGAATGTTGTTTTGAATCGAAGTAACGCCACCTCCGGTTCAAACCGCAACTTTATGTATAATTAATCTGGACCTCTTTCCATATTTCGTATCGATTTTCATTTAGAATATCTAACTCCTTTCTCGAGATTAAGTTGTTCTACCAACCTCACTCTTTGTATCCTTACCGCACGTTGTTCTCTACGCCTGGAAGCCATTCGACGCAACCTCTTACTCGTTTTAACACAGGAAAGGGAAATCCTACGGTAACCGTTCGGTCGGTACCCTGCCGCCCACCGGCTTCTTTTCGGCCCCAGATTTACAGGGAGAGGTATCGCCCATTTTGGGAACCACTGGTTTAGAACGAATAGAGGATGGCTTTCTATTTTATACGTATAAGTAATAAATTTGAAAGAAGTAGAACTGGCGCTACGTGTCTGTAAATCACACGGAGAGCTCGGTACTTACTCCGGCACTTTATTAACTAATGGCTGCAATGTTTTCCGCACGGGTTGGAACCACGACCGATTCGTTTGACCGCTCTAAAAGATGAAAGTGTTCTCCGCAAACGTTCCGTTGGCAGACTAACGTAACCGGCGAGTTTAAAAAGTGACGTCGAGGACAGAAGAAACGACGATAACTCGGTATTCCGTCGCCCGATTTAAACCGAGTTCCTTACATTTCGTATATTTTCGATTGTCAAAAATTCTGTATAAACTTATGTCCTAACAAAACAACGCAGACTTTTAGTAGTAAGTAGATAGATATGTTTTAATAATTTATCAGATGGTCTTATTGCGAATGGTAAGAGTGCTGGGGATAACGTGGTTGTAATTCTGAAAATTGCAATTACTGTATATTGCGTTGTTATTGACCGTAGCCGCGAAATCCCGTTATAAAAGATACAAAAAGGTCGCGGATACCGGAAAACGACGAAGACATTTTTAATTAGTTTTATTTCGGCGGCCGAGCGACACCAACGCCAACTTGCATAAATTACCTAACGTTATTGTAAGATTTCGGCCGCTTCCCGCTGTCCAGTAACGCTAACCTCTGCATCACTACGAAATTTTGCGTTCTATAAGAGCCACAGTTTCCGGGACCGCGCCTAATTTCCGCACGAAAAGCGTAAAAACCGACGTCTAAAATCCAAAAGAACGGAAGAAGGCACCGGCGTGAACTACCGGGTATTTCCGGTGGGCTTCCCAAAGCGGCATTTACGTCTTGCGCGCGCGCGCGTTACGTAACATTCGGAAGCTTGGGCTCTTTCCCCGTTCCTGCGGTTGGCAAGGGGGAAAGAGCAGCGGGGGGACCAGAGTCCAGGTGGAACACGACTTAATTACGACGTAATGTTTATTAATTGTTCAGATTTTAAAAAAACTTTTAATACAAATCATTGGCTAACAGCAATAATCTTAGAATATATAAAACTTCGATTAACTTTTAAATCCATCTTCCAGTCGATATTTTTCCACGACACAAACAAGTTTTAAAGTCGAATTCGCAGATAGCGTAAAATGGCGAAAGACTCCGCGCGCCCGTCTCTCTCTCGGTCCTCGGTCGACTCGCGCGCGTCGGAGCCAGGCGCGAGGCCGGGCGACGGACGAGGTCGACCGCCCTCCGCGCGCGCGGCGGCCGGATCCCGCCGCGGCCGCGGTACAGGCACTGTGGTAGAACACGTCAAATATACACACAACGGTTACGACTCGTTTTGGCCGAACGTTTATTCATCGTTACAAATTATCGAAAATTATTCGACGGTATATTTACAGGGTTATATTATACAAACTGTCAACTCGAAAACATCTCACACAAGTAATTACGGGCTAAAAAGGCGTCAAATAAAGGAACGAATCAGCCGGTGGTGCGCGACGGCCGCTCCGCGTCGAAAACGGCGCGCGCGAGCGCAACGCGCCCGTGTGGGGCGCCGGAGAGGCGCGGGCGACGCTCTTTTATGCATAGTGATGTAGCACTTGAGAGAATTGTGGGAATGCACGACTTTGAGCTCCGCCGGCGGCGCTGTAGAACGGACGGGTGCCGGTGCCGCCCCGTCACCCGGGGGGCCGGACGCCCTTCCGGCGGCCTAACCGAGAGAGAGAGAGAGAGACAGAGACAGAGACAGAAACAGAGAGTGAGAAGTGAGAGTGAGAGAGGAGCGGAAAGGGTTCGGTCCGGCGTGCGGAAGGGTCGGACCGCTTCCGTCGGCGCCCTTCCGCCACCGTCGAACGCGCCGGGGTGGGAGACGAATCGATTGGCGGCCCGTGACCGGATGGAAGCGACGAGAAGTGGGCGGTGCCGGACCCGTGCCCGATCCCTACCGACGGCGAGAATTCTCCCGCGCATCCCGTCGTTTCCCTCTCTCTTAGCGTTTTGCATATTCCGTTCGCGCGCGTCGCCCGACGCGTCGGACCGCCTTCTGTTAGAAAAATAATGAAAAGTCTGTGGTGTAAATGAACGAGACGAGTCGCAGTCGACGGAGCTAGCGCACTTTCACGAAATGGATAGAAAAATATTTGCTCCGAGCCCTGGCTTTTCTTCCCTAAGTAACCGCTACCTTTTGTGCAGAGACCGGTGGCCAACCTTCACACGTCCGTCGAACGACTGGTGACGCTGGGCGACCTGGAGTGGATGACCACTTTGTGTCCGTTTTTGGTCACGTGTCCGTCGCTCTCCACCAAAATGGCCGTCTGCTGCCGCTGCCGAGGTTCTTCCGAAGACCTGCCTCGGTACTGCTTCCACGCCTGCTGGATGACGCGAGCGGCGTACTCTTCCCTCTGCCTGTTCAGCGTGCTGCTGATGGGCTGCAGTCCTCCCCTCTCCTTAGTCGGCGCCACTTCGGCGATTTCGCTCTCGTCTACGCTGATGCCCTTCTTGCAGAAAAAGTCTTTGGTCAGCGCGTCCAGAATGTCCACGCAAAACACCAGGTCTCCCTCGCAGATACAAATATCCATGCTTATGATTTTGTACTTGTTGGGTTTGGGAATTTGCAGAGGTTCCTCCAGCGTGTCGATGAAGTCCGTTAGAACTTCGTATTTGATGAACTGGGTTCCCTCGGGGTCGAATTTCTGCCAGATGTCGTAGTACATGTCGTAGTCGTCGTCGGTCAGGCCCTCCTGCACTTCCTCCGTGGCCTGACTGTAGTTTTCCAAAATGACGGCGATGTACATGTTGATGATGATCAAAAAACTGATGATCAGGTAGGAGACAAGATAGGCAACGGCGATGGTCTTCTTGCCACAGTCTCCCTCTATCTCGCACGCGGGATCGTAGCTAGAAGTGCAGTTGGGGATCTTCACGGTGTCCGGGGTGCAGTCGGTCTCGTCCATGATGGCCGCCAGGATGCTGTCCCATCCGGCGGACGTCGACATTTGGAAGAGAATGATCATGGACTGTCCGAAGGTTTCGAAGTTGAAATTCTCGTCCACTCCGTCTCTGTGCTTGACGTTCATGAAGAAAGACATTCCGAAGATGGCGTATATGAACATGACCAGAAAGAGAAGCAAGCAGATGTTGAAGAGGGCGGGTAGAGACATGGCCAGAGCGAACAGCAGAGTTCTAATTCCCCTGGCTCCCTTCACCAGTCTCAACACCCGACCTATTTTCACCACGCGGACAACGCGCAGCATGGTGGGAGATACCAGAATCTCGCTGATGACGTCGCTGATGGCCACACCTGAGAGAGAAAGCGAGAGAGAATTGTAGGCGCGCCAGGTAAACGTAAAAGGTGTAAACGGAAAGAGAAAACTCACTCAACACGGAAAGTATGACGATGACGAAGTCGAAGACGTTCCACGGTTCTTTGAAGAAGTACCATCGAAGAGCGAACATCTTGAGGACGCATTCGGCCGTGAAAATGGCAATGAAGAATAGATTGAGTCGTTCCAGAACCGTCTCGAAGGTGGGAGAGGGTTGGTGGTGGTCCATAGCCATGGTCAGCATGTTCAGTCCGATGAACAGCATAATGGCCACATCGAACTTCTGGTTGGTGACCAGGTCGAAGATCCAGCTCTGCAGTTTGTACTGCAACCAAACACAAAGATTTATAGTGTAAGACATTAAACGAGTTACCTATCGGTCCCACAATCGGCGCGGCGGAACAGCTAATTGGCGCACCCGCTCCTACAGCCACAGAGCATTTTTGCCACTGCAGCTTCGGAAAACGAACTTTCGTAGAAACTAAATATTTTTCTAAGAAAATGCTACAATGAATACGGTAGAAGCCAGGTAGAACTATGATTAACGGAGGTTCGACATTATCCGAGACTGAATTTTTCGTTCTCTGTCGCACCAACAGCCAGAGACGATAAAGCTTCCTACGCTTCCAACGCGCAGTGTGTGAATCTGGCGATGTAGGTGGAAAAAGTTCAGTTTTTCTACTTAACCAGAATTATTAATTTATTACTTTCTCGGCTCTGTTATATATAACAGAAAGAAAGTACGGCGACCAGTTCCCCAACACTTTTACATTTTTTCTCTATGTATGTGGGTGTAAGGGAGGCAGGATTTTGTTAACCCTCTTTAAAGTTTTATAACTCCCGTGTTTTTTGCCGAAAATTTCTTAAATTTCGCAGGGAGGTTTGTTTATTAGGGAATCGATAGTACTAAATTTTGGTGATTAAAGGTCGAGGGGGTGAGGAGATAATGGATGTCGTCTGTATCTCCAGTAGGGTCGGACTGGCCGAATGGCCAGCGGTCGAGGTGACAGCCTACCGCCCTGGGGGACCCGGGCTCGCATCCGAACGGGTCGAAAAATCCCCAGGAATTTTTCGGGGGTGGTCCGTTCGGAAATGTCGGGCCCCGTCCCTCACCACCCGGCAGCCCCATTGTGGGCCTGACCGAACCCATAATAGGCTTGCAGAAAGAGGCCCTCTTAGTGCCCACAGGGCAGAAAGAGTTTAAAAAAAAGTAGGGCCGGACTTAATGACGATTTAGCTCATTATTAGCATTTACAATTTTTTTCATAAAACCTATCTCTGCCCTGGAAATTAAGCTTTTTGCCATTTTATAATAATTAAAAATATAGCAAGTTTTAAAAATAAAATATGATAAGAGATTTTAAATGTTGCCGGGAAAGCTAAGTAACTGGTTGCTGGATTATTTTATATGTGGATAGTAGTTAAGTTTGCTGGAAATGCGGAGGGGTAGCTGAGATACGCGTCTAAAATTGAGCCAACTCGCAATACGCACGCACAGCCTAGCTCGCTTCACTACATCCAGTTGGCCGGATTCGTGCGCGCCCCTAACAACACTAAGAGTTTGCCGTATGTTCGAATCGTAATTGATGCAGATTTTCCTTACTACTATTGCCTATATTTTTTCTAAATTTGGTATTGTTGACTCTAAGAATTCTTTTGAAGAAAGAAGTAATTCCATCTAAAAGTTATTTCTGACATTTGCCTAAGGTTTTACTTTAGTATTACACTTACTTAAGCTTCGCGACTACGTCTGGATAGTTAAATAATCGAAGAAGTTTTGCGCAAATTTTAGCATTAAATTATTTTTTCATTTTTAACAGAATGACACCCTCGATTTCCTCGGAGAGCCCTTTTCGAGTTACGGGACAAAGTCCCGAGAGCTCCCTAGGAAAAGCGATACACGCATCCTGGGAGAAAAAGGAGAGAGCGCGAATTTCGAAATTGTTTTAAACTGCATAAAGCAGAAAACCAGGAATGTTTGCCATAAACTTAATAGCAAATGGAAAAAAGTAGCCAAGCATGGACGACGCTCTTCTATACTTATTCGTCTTGGCAAGTTGAAAATATTACATTATCTGACGATATACATGTATTTAAAGCCGTCCAGAGTACGTCGAGACTAAATACACCCACGATTGGGCTCTACGCAACGTCGGGTCCAATTCCGTCAAGTAAAATTTCACGAACAACATCGAAGCTTTGCATTTTCCCAATTGGACAATACTCGGAAATAGCCCGAGGGGACAAGAAACAAACGTAATAGACAGTTCGGGGAACTATTTAGGAGGAAAACATCGAGAAGAGATATAATTCGGACTTGCCAAACAGACTTCTCTTCGCCTCGGATTCATTTATTGCCAGTTTGCCAGCATCTCGTATATATAGACATTAAAAAATGAATCCCGAAATATTAAATTTATATTAAATAACTAGCTGCAAGGACCCGCTTCGCTGGGTTTTTATTTGTATGTAATACTAGCTGTTACCCGCGACTTGGCCCGCGGAGGTTTTGCAAGCAAACCCCATTTNGCATCTCGTATATATAGACATTAAAAAATGAATCCCGAAATATTAAATTTATATTAAATAACTAGCTGCAAGGACCCGCTTCGCTGGGTTTTTATTTGTATGTAATACTAGCTGTTACCCGCGACTTGGCCCGCGGAGGTTTTGCAAGCAAACCCCATTTATATTCAGTATTTCAACAACCATAGTAATTGTTATATAACACCTACCGCCGAGAATGATGAGAATTGCCGAGAATCAAACGAACTATTTTCAATTTGATCAATTATCTGCAACGTTTACAATCGTTCTATAACCGAACCAATTGGAATTTAAATTCGAATTCGAAAATTTTTAAAATCGAAATAGAGAATCTTACACTTTCAAGCCCATATCTCCCGCACCCTTATAGCTATCGAGACGCAACCACCATAGTGCACGAATGGAGACTCGGGGCTACTACCACATACAAACACCATTCGCGTGCGATGTGTAGTTTTGGAGGAAAAGTGAAATATAGGGACACACACGTCCATTTATATATATATATAGATGAGAAAAATTTATGAGAACAAAAAAGAGAAAATTCTGTTCACTCATTACTGATTCAGATTAAACGTTCTCCATTTGTAATTCTTTTTTCGTTTTTGCTCGCATACTAATATCTATTTTTACTTGTTATTTTTCAGGGTTGATATTTTATTATCATTAAACACAATACTAAATCTAACTACAGGATATCCTCGTTAATTCGTAACCGTTCTTTGGTCCCAGTCGGGGACACGTCATGAAACTCGGTTAGTTCGAAATAAGACTACTTGGAAATTCCTAGTGAAAATTCTGTCCAAACTGTGATAAGCCTATGTTAACCGATTCGTTTAGATCGAACTGCCTCCATACTACGAGAGAACAACTCTAGTCTGGCCAATATGGCTTTGCTTCTAGAGAAACACATTTTTCGACGTCACCATACCCACGGAATACCTTTACTTTCCCGATTGTTATGTATACGTAACAAGGGATAGTACGAGAATCGTGTCAATTTTGACCCTCCGAAGTTTTTGCAAATCTCCACGTTTTTAGACCTCTCGAACCCAAAAAGTCAAAAAAAAAATCCGTCATTGTACGCGTGTGGCTATTTCGCTTAATATCTCGGCACGGGGTAAAGGTCAAAAAAATAAATTTTTCACGAGGGTTTGCGTAAGAAGGGCGTCGATGCTATTAAATTTTGGTGGTGAAAGGTCCAGAGGGTTGGAAGACAGAGGGAATCGCGTATCTCGAGAGGGGTAGGACTTAATGAAGATTTCATTCTTTATTAGCATTTACACTCTTTTATAAATTCACCTCTACTCTCAAAATGAAGTTTTTTTTGCCATTTTACAGTAATTAATAATATAAAAAGTATTTATAACGCAATCTGATAAGAAATGAAGCCACTCAATTTTGTTTTTTCTTGCTTAGTAATAAAAGTTTTTTTAATAAAAATTCATAATAGCGGGGAAAGTTAGGCAACTTTCGTTGCTAGATTTTTTCTGTTATCTCGTAAAAATGTGACTGGCTTTCGAGACAGATATTTGTAGGGCTCTGAGCTAGTACATTGGGAGCAGATTAAAAATAATTTTAATTACACGACAAAAATTAGGCTTTACTTTTTAAAAAACCCGCGAGGTTCTCTCCGTTTACTATTAATTGTTAATGAACGAAAATAGCGTTGTGTATAAGTAGCCGTATTCGGTCTGCTTAATAAATTACATCAGTTACGAGTCATTTGGCATACGGTGAACAAATACGTAAATGTCGGACAATTCCAAGTGGCCATTTCCCCTCTGTCTGCTAGTCTACTTATAAAGGTTTTCTAGTCATATAAAAACTGTAAGTTTTGCAGACTCTTATTTATGTTAAATAATTTGTATATTTGTATTTTATTAGGAAATTCTACCGAAAAAGTAAAGAAGAATGCTTTATATTTTAATTGCGATTGACAGATTTACACACTGGAGCAGTCAAGATTACACCGAAACACTAAAGTTTACCCGCTGCCTCGGAAAATAAAGGAACAAATATTTGCATTTTCCGTAGGAATAAAGATTTCGGGCGCGTACTTACATTTGGTCGGGGAATGGCCTTGGCGGGTTTTTTCGATCCCATTTTTTTCATGGCGTTGTAGTACTTCTTCTGGTCTTCGGTCATAAACATTTCCAAAGAGCCTCCTGCGTAAAATATCGAACTTCCATTATTCCTCGCCGTCATCTACTCCTTACCTACTAATTCTAATAGACCTAACTTAGTAAACCCGCGCCGTTTTGAGGCAGCGGCTCGGGGTGACAATTTCCGAGCTTCGGAATCCGTTTTGACGAAAATATTTATTGGAGTCGAAGGAGAGAACAGCAAATATCGAGAACCGCCGCTCGATATTTGCTATTTTCAGGCATACGCCGGGCGGAAACGTGGACTTGGGAAATCGCCAGGCGCGGGGAGGATGGGAGAGGAGGAATGTACTTATCTTTTTCTTCTGTTCGTTAAAATTGTCGATGATGACTCCGATGAAGAGGTTGAGGGTGAAAAAGGAACCGATGATGATGAAGAGCACGAAGTACAGGTACATGTAGCGGTTGACCTCGTATTCGGGTTGGTCTCCCTCGTTTTGCTAAAATAAAAAAAACCCGCACATCCGCACATTAACCACCTTCCGACAAATACCGAGAAAAGACGAGGGACAGACAACTTACCCTAGTGTCGATGGCGCTGTTCATGATGTCGATCCACCCTTTAAACGTGGCCTGTAAGACCGGGAAGGGAATCAGCTGCGAAAAGAGCGGCGGCACGGAGGAAGGGGTCTACTCACCACTTGAAACAGAGCCAGATAGGCGTTGAGCACGTTGTCGAAGTTGATCTTGGGATTGGCCCAGGTGAAGTTGTTGGAGACGCAGACGTTTTTGTTAGGCACGGTCGAGCTGTTGAAGGGGTTGCCGTCTCTGTCGGCGCAGTAGCGAAACTTGCCGGCGAATAACTGAACGCCCATGATGGAGAAGATCAGCCAGAAGATGAGGCACACGAGAAGAACGTTGAAGATGGCGGGGATGGCTTGAACGAGAGCGTTTACTACTACCTAAGGGAAGGGAAGGGCAACGTCACTCCGGCCTCTCCCTCCCCTCGTCCCGCCTAAATCTTTTTACCCGTTAACTTTTAATCCGACAAATATTCGAAGAGCTCACTCCGAGTGGCGCGTAACGGGAGTAGAAAGGAGCCACCTTCCGGCCGGAATAATTGAGCGAAGCCTTGGCGCTCCACCCGTTCCGGGGAGTTTAAATACGCCCGGACGGTCGATCGACGGTCGTCTCGGAACTTTAAAGTTACTTTGACGATAACGTTCTTCCCGCAGAAACAAAACTGCCGGCGACAAACTAGAGTCTAGACCCCGAGGATCGAGTTATAAACTCCGTACCGTATTCCGTAAGAAAAGTTTGGATCGATCGAACTTTTACGGTAGGGATGCGGAGAATCGACCGACTGCGATATACAATCGGAAGTCGTGCCGGAAGCGACCCACGAAACTTTGACAAATGGGTGGAAACGTAACTTTTGACCGACGAATAATATCAAATTTTAAGATAAGAGTTAGTTTGGAAAATGATGAAATGAATGAACAATTATAGTATTAGACGTCGGCCGACGATTTTGCTTGGCCTTCCCTTCGGTAGTTCGTAACTATTGCTACAGATATCCGGTGTAGCAAACATTTACGAATACGGATACGGTTACCTTACGCAGTTTATAACTCGACCCCGAGCGAGCTGCGGCAAACAGCGCCAGTGGCCAGAAGCTAGATTTATATTTTATGCTCAAATTACAAATTATAAATGTTTTATTAGTAATTACTATTAGTTAAAAATAAAAATAAAAGGAAATTTTAGACAGACACCTTAGTTATAAAGGAATTATTGAGGCTGTCCGCATTTCGCTCAAAATTTTTACTCCACCCTCCCCTCCGGTCACAGTTTGCCCAAGTTTCCTTAACCCCGCCCTTCCCCTTTTCGGACGTTCGATAAAACTCGATCCCCTTAAAACCTTATCAATTTATGAATCATGCCGTAAGTAGAAACGAAACGCATAAGAAATTCTGATATAAATATAATAAAACGCAGGGTATAAATTTTAGTCTAAATAAAACGGACGTCCACGGACATTCAACCCCCCTCCCTTCGAGAATGGACGTCATTTATGGACTGCCCCATTTTTCCATAAAAGTGTAACCTTCTATATATATAATCGAAATGGGTTGACAACGATAAGGATAATAATATTAATCGCGGAGCCCAAACGCTTAGGAGTTAAAAATTGAAATTTAGTAGACAGGGTACGTGGCGAGAATGTACCGTACACGTAAGAAATACCGTAGAAATACCGTACACGTAAGAAATACCGAGAATGTACCGTACACGTACTCTGCCCGCGGGGAGAGAGGGACGGGGTTAAGGATTACCCCGAATTCGGATTTTACTATAATATTTTAGATGCGGTTTTTTGCGAAAAATCCAACATATTTTTACACCTATGTCAAAATTCTCTATTTAGTTTCGGAAGAGGGGGCTAATTCTTGTACCCGACGAAAACGGATAAAATCGGCTATCTTACGTAAGAGCTTTATCACACCGAATGACATTTTAAAAATTCTTTATTCCTCTTCGGTATACAATTTAAAAAACTTTTTAAATGAGATCGAGCACTCGATACGATAAACTCTTTGGTAAGATAATCTTTGTAAATATAAATCAAATACAATAAGGCACGGACGAATACCGTTAGGGGAACCGGGCACAAATCTGTGTACGCCTTAAAGACGTCCTACACCGTTACGTATTTACCTGTAAAAACCGGTATTAGAAAGTATTTAACGGGATCGGCACGGTCTACGTGGTCCGGCATTACCTTGCCATTTTCTCCCGGCTAGGGCGTAATCCGCCACCCGTGGAAAAAGCATTTTTAAATAAAACTACATTGGCCTACACTTAGTTTTACTCGACTTTAAAACGTTTACATACTGTTATTTTCTGTTTCGGTCTACGTAATTTTAAGGCCGTATTCGACATTAAAGTTAGTCGTAACGTAAGTATGTTTGTTTCATCGCCGCATTTTTAGAAACAGAGAACGAAATTTTAAGAAGAGCCATTCGAACTTTGGAGAAACGAAATGGCCCGGGCATAAGATTACAGATAGAGCCGTGGACTAACGATTCTTGGATAAACATTTAAAGGTTTTCGCTGCTAGCGGAGTTGCGGGAAACATCGTAGTGTTGGACTTAATTGAAGGCCAAAAGCGACAATAACGACCGGTGGTCATAATCCAATAAAGAAATATACATTTTCTTTTATGGCAGTTGCTCGTTTTATTATTTTTGCGTTAATAAAACAAAATTTTTGAAAATTATTATTCGTATTAAAAATGAATAAAATAGCGTATCGACAGAGACGTCTTTCCGTATTTTTAACACCAAAAACGAATAAAAGTAGTTTTGCCCGGTCAGATTACTAGTAGCAACCACCGGTAACGGGAAAAGGTATTATCGCGTGTAAAGGAGGAAAACGTGGCCGGGTGGCCTCTTCCTTTCCCGCGGGTAAATCGCGAATTTCCCTTCCGGAGACGAGTGAGCGCTTCGAACGGGTGAAAAATTACCGGCAGAAAAAAAACGACAAAGAAACACAAACCACACGAAAACGAGTAAAAGAGGGAAGAGGTGAGAAACTGCGACTTACCTGATTAGTCGGGAACCGGCTGGAGGCGGTCGAACGTCCGCAGATCCGCGGCGCGCCCGCTTTAAAAGTGCGAGAGGATCCCACCCGTTCTCCGGGTAGGAATATCTCGGCTCGGCAATGGCGAAAACTTCTCGTCCGGGTTTAAACGCGGCGAGGAACGGCCCTCTTCCGACCGGGAAAAACGCCTCCTTTTCTCTGGCAGGTAAGGAGACAGCCGCCGCGTCGTTCCGTCGTTTACCCCCCGCCGCCGGAAAGTTTCGTCACCGTAAGGTTTGGGTTTAAGCCAAAATCGGCGGCGGATCAACGGTCGAGTCTGTCGGCCCAAACCGCTACCGACGGGCCTAAACACTACGGTAAAAACTCCCGATTTCGAATTTCGGCCCCTAATAAACTCTCCGGGTGGGCGTTCCACGCGGAGGTAGTGAAACGGAACGGCGGCTTTTTAACAGTAAGAAGTTTGGGGTTACGCGGGAGAGCTCTTATTCCCGGCTCCCGCCCAATTACTTAGGATTGCCTGTGAAAATTGGTCGCGGAGTGGGAAATAATCTAACTGCGGGTGCCGAAGAACGTCCGAAATGGTTTCGATTGTTCGGGCTCTCGGAGCAAAAGGAAACGGAAAGCGACAGACGTTTTTTGCCGCATTTGCTCGTAATACGGCCGGTGAGCAAAATTTGGCCCGGTAATAGTTTTATGGCATTTAGCCTAATTAAAGGCGTGCGATTAGCGAAGGCCAGGTAACCGTTCTAAAGCTGCGGCATTCGATTTACGGCAGAGATGTCGGTTTATCTAGAGCCTGCGTAAAGCTTTTTTCTAAACGTTCTGCCACCGTCTTATTTTAAACGAAAGTGGGAAGTGACCGAGAGAAACGGTGGCGGAGGTCGGACCGGGCCTCGGCCCACCACCAGTACTCCTTTCTTGCTCGGGACTCTCGGCCCTATCGGCACCCCCCTAGTAACGGTTGCCCGATTATACCGCGGTTTTTTCTTGCACCGTAGAGCCTCCCTCGCGCTGCCATTACTGCAAGAACTACACTATTGAGAATATAATTAATTTCGAAATTCGTTGGTATAACGCTCACTTTCTTACTAATTCTTTATAGTTTAAAATTTAAAAACCCTTACAGAGTATCTTGGATCGTTTTTACGCGAGTTTCAATTTTTCGTAAGGTAACCAGGCCTGGTGGCAAATCTATTTTAAAACTGATAAAATTAAGAAAGGCTCAATCCTATCGGCAAAATCGGCTCGTGTTATTACAGTATCTATCGCCGTTTGATTCGTAATACAGTAGAGCGTCGTTTATCCGAATCAATTGGGGACTGAGGTTGTTCGGATAACCAATTATGTACGAAAAAATATATTAATTTATCCCGTGTTGAAATTTTTCTCCGTTGCGTGTCGCTTCGCGTTGAATTTTCGTCGATGTTAAGCCTAACGAAGACTATTGTATCGTTAAATTTTGTACAAACAAAATAAATATATTGAAAAATATAAAAACAATAAAAAATTATACTTCACAAGTTAATTTAGTATCAAAAACGTAAAATATTTGAGTAGCCGAAGACATAGCCAAAGATTACAGCGCCACAGCACTGGCGAAAATTTAAATTTGTCGACTGAAATTCCTTCGGATAAACGACGCTCTACTGTATTGACAGAATATCACAAATTTATGTCGGATTTTTGCATAGTTCCTTCTACAAATTTTATTGTTCTGATTGTGCAACAACGAAACTGATTATCGACAAAGGCTTAATCTAGGAGTCTCGACTCATAATTATTTTTCCTGTGGTAAAGTAGGTAGAATTTTAATTAATGAATTGTTGTTAAGACAAATGTAGAGCCGTCTGCAAGTACAGTGGTACCTCAGGATACGAAATTAATCCGTTCCGAAACTGAGATCGTATCACGAAAATGTCGTAAGGTGAATCATTTTTCCCCATGAGATTACACGTAAAACCAAATAATCCGTTCGAACACGAAAAAACACACTCAAATTAATGCTGAGTAGTTAAATAACTTTAGTAAGGAAAACACTGAAAAATGTGCTTTGTAGTTGTAAATGTATAAATAACCGTAATACAATAATAATTGATAAAAAAATATATACAGTAGTTTCATTTGCACTTTACCTTCGAGGATAGACGACGGTGGATGTGTAAACTGGTGGCGGAAAAGAGGGAGAAGGGAAATGATACTAAAACTTAACTTACATAACATAATGTAACAATAACTTAACAGTAATTTTTTAACTTTTCTGTTTCACACGTATTTTTAAAATTTTTATTCACTGCTTTTTGCTTTCTTTCCTTCGCTTCCACCAGCAATTCCACTGGATAGAGGTCGCTCGGTAAAATATCTATCCAAAGACGTTTGGCTTTGCCTATTTTTTAAAATGTTTCTAAAACGACTTAGGCAAATGTCGTTACTCCGAGCGGCAATACGGCCAGTGCGAACCTTTTCGGGATGTTTTTCTTTTCGATAAAACCTCGAGATTTCCTTTATCGAGCGAGATCCTTCCAGGACGAAGCAAACGCGCGGACAGACTGAGAACGATGAACAGAAGTGAATAAAAAATGGCGCTGCGAACTAATATAACGTCGTATGGTGAGTTTTTGTTCCTATCGTGGAGCAAAATTATGTTCGAATTTCGTGTCGTATCCTGAAAATTTCGTACGCTGGGGCGTTCGTATCCTGAGGTACCACTGTAATCATTTTACACGGACTCGTGTGTGAGAATCTGGAATTGACCAGAGATTTTTTGTTTTAAATGATTTTAAATGTAATTTTAAAATCGAGATGATAAAAAAATGATCTATCTAAGTCAAAGGACGTAGTCGCTGCGAATCATAGAGAGAAGAGATGCAGTTCCTTGGACTCGACTATCGGCTTTTCTCCCGGGATGGAAATATGGCGTGATATTCCAACTATACCATTGGTAGACCGACGAGTATATAAGGTGAAGGGTGATCTTCGAACGGCGCTTCGGTCGCGCTTTAATCACCCTTTAGCCGCACGCTTAAGTTACGTTCGGCCATACCCGCACATTTTGGCGCCCTTACCGGGGCTCCATCCGCACGAGTTGTAAACGCTCTCGATGCCTTCGTCGCGTAAACGGGTAACAAGTCGATAATTCGAGGCTACTGTAAACCCTCTCCGATCGAATTATGTCGAGATATCGAATATTTATAAGCTAGATTATACAACCTCCAGTTGTTTTGTATAGTAATCCACTCGATTATTCTTATTTTAGTTATCATTATCTATAGGTTTTAAATAAATATTTTTCGTTATATTCTAACTTGTTTAAGTGCCTAACTCCCCTCCTAAGTTCCGGTCATTGGCCAAGGTATTTGGGACCAATTGAGTTATCCTAACTGGTGACGGGACCTGACGCGCGGCAGAGAGATATTTCGTTCATCTCCCCGGATTCTCCATAACATATTAATCCCGGTAGCCCCGAACTAAAACCCAGTTCTCGGAAATAGGCGTCATTACAGTGGGGTTTAACAGTGTCTTACGACGGTAAAGTTATTTATGTAGCTGGATGTACCCGCACGGCTGATTCTTAAATTTTCGTGACGCGGAAATGAATTTAACTCGAACGATCTCGACGCACGGTGTTTTTGTGTACAGCTTCGAACACTTATAAAGAACAATGGGTATTACGGCAGCCAACCACTTCGCAACATCTAACCCGAACTGGCTAATAAAAAATTAAGAATCGGACTAACAACTAGCGGTGTGACACGCGCTTAGAAGTAGGAACGAGTCACGACGGTGATTGGCTGCACTCTCTTTTTCTTCTAGATTCTAGAAGAAGCGCGTCATTGCATTCTATATTGTTTGGGTAAAACTATACGTTATCGTCATTACGTCTCTTCTTTTAAAATACCACAGAAATAAAAATACCTCAGAAATAAAAATACCTCGTGCAGTTTACTACTCAATCTTCACTGTTCGTACCTCCGTCGTGGACGCGGGACAAATGGAAATAACGTCACGTAACTCGCTAAATGATCTATAAGAACTTTCTGGGCTGCAAAGAGACCGCCAACCACAATTTGATAAACATTGCCCTTAATCACCAGAAAGGAGTTAGACGAACGTGGAAGCCGAGATTAACCAACTTTTGCTTTGGAACGTTACTTGGATTGGAAATTTCCCCCGAATAGAGTTAAATAGATGATCCACACGACTCTGTTGCTAACAGGAAAACTATGATGTACGGGAACAAGACCGCCACTAAAAAAATTACGAACATTGTGACGAAACGTTTCAGCCCGGCAATGCGACCGTATCACAATAAATAATTGCTCGATAGAATTAGTTTGGTTTATTTCGTCACGACAACGCGATCTGTCCAGAGGGTGTTTCCCACGACAACGCGATCTGTCCAGAGGGTGTTTCCCAGTAGGACTTTTATGGGAAACTGGACCCTATTTACGTGTTACTAACGTGAAGAAAATCCGGAAAACTCCGCGTGGCCTTTGGCCATGCCCGTAAACAGGAAACAAACTTCTCTTCTTTACAATGTAATCTATTTTAAAGGAACAAACAAGCATCCACGCTATTAACAGCGGATACAACCGACGAGTGTCTAAAAAACCGTCACCAGGGAGCGCCAATACAACGGAGTACTTTGACCCGACGCCGAAAGGTCGGAAGGGAACAAACCTAAATGGTGTCTACGAGAAATCGGCCCGTATTTAGGTGTGGGAGGCGCTAAGTTCCGGGAGAAAAGACAAAGAGGAAGTGAAATGCCATTTTCGTTTTCACCTTTGCCGGTCGATGGAAGTTAGAACGAATATTTCGGCGAAAACGAATTGCCGTGTCTTTTGACATGACCGTCGGTTAACGAAAGCGGGGGTTATAAAATCGGCATTTTACCGTGCCGTTTAATTAATATGGCAATTCCGAATTGGACGGTTGTCCGAGAGACGATTGGGTGCAAGGGTTTCATGCATCCCGGACCTGAAATTGCGTCGACTGCTCATGCTCAATATTTAAACCATACTCACCCTCATACCCTGGAAACGCGATAAAGCTCTCAGTGGTCGGAGAGCGCGGAGAGTACGCATTGTCTTCAGCGCCGGTATGTTTCCTCCCCATACCATTGTGGCTACAAGATTGATCATAGACACCTAGCAATGCAAGAAGGCATCTTTATTCTATTATTCTGTTTAATTAATAAATGGTTTTGGTAATTGGTAGGAGAGGCCATAGGTAACGGGAGACGAGGACAAATGGTGAAAGATGGAATCCCGTAATTAAAGCTACGGAAATACTTGTAAACGCATTTGTACCGCTCGATCTTTATCGGCGGACGGTGCGATTCCGTAACCGTCGGGCAATTTTTACTTCTTCGGCCGAGATTTAGAAATTTACCACACCCGCGAATGACGGACGGAATCCGCCACTGGAAGTAAAACCTTTCCCGTTACGGAATCGTACCAAAGACATACTTACTTATTTGGATTCCTTGGGTGGAGGAACGTCCGACAGAACAAACGAGCCACGCACGTCACGTATTTGCACGTATGACATACAACACGACACCACACACAACTCGCGGCGTCGGCAACGAAGCGAAAGTCGTTGTCAAAGACAAAAGAACCTTCACTCGGAAGAACCGACGCTTGTCTTACTTACTCTCATTCCCTCCAGACGTGACAACGCACGAAGCGGGCGGAGAGCTCTCAGAGTTCGCATAGTTTTAAAGGCGGGAAAGCCGGTATTTAATCCTGTAAAGCTCACTGCCAGATTAAACAGCGAAACCTGGAATCGTCAAACGTGTCGGACGGTTAACCGGTCGGACGGTAGAAATGCATATATGGGAAGAAATTAAACAGTCAATTAAATAAAATTCAATTCAACCCTAACCGAAAACCCGGCTAAGGCCTTCGGACGCGACATTCATTCGTTTTACTCGACAGTTACCGGCACTGATAGAAGAACGGGTTAAAATCGACGGCCAGACCTTTTATAAACGTTAGCCACAAACTTCGATACGACAACGTCCGGAATCGCGGGTTTTCTAAAAGTGCCAGTAAATCCGCAATACAACCAGACAGTTGCCAGAATAAAGTAGTGTGTCCGTAGGAAAGAGCGGGATAATAAATGATTTCGGTGGCAACGCTTATAAATCCTTTCTGCCAATTGTAAGTTATGTTTATTACATTAAGTATTTAAACGGATTCGGGTGATAAAAAGGAAAGATCTAGAACCTCCGGCACCTGTTTCGTGCCATTTTCTAAGTCTGGATACCGTCCCTCTAAAACGTGGGGATCCCTCTAAAGTCGATATTTCTGCACCGATGGTGGAAAGCTGCAGATATTTGACGTAAGAAATGCAAAACATTTTTGTAATTTCATTTGTACGTATTATTTTTACAGAGCTCTGAAATCCGTTGGCTAGCGTAAAGATACTTATTTAAAACAAATACGCTTCCTACACGATTGTTTTTGACTGGACTCGATTTTCTTAGTTTACGCCTCAATTCGTAATTACACTAACTAGAAAGTAAATTCTAGAAACATTAAAATGTATTGGTAATTCGTCTAACGACTTCTCAAAGCGGCAAGCATCCGTATAATAGACACCAGCCGAAGCTGGATCGACACACTACGTAATTCTAGCCACTGTAAACGACAACAATCGGAGAATCGTCGTCTTTTCGGCCTTTTCCGCGCCGACCTCCGCAAGATAAAGCTTCCCACGCGGGAAACTTGCCGGCAAGGTCATCCTCTCAAGCCCTACCCGGCGGGTAAACGGACGGAGTGGAGGGTATTCCGACTTATGGAAAATTCGCCGGAGGATCGATTTCCTTCCCTCGAATGGGCCGTACCAGGCGGATGCCGAAGTTTGGGTAATTTTCTAGACGGACGGCCGTCGTCCGCTTTTTTGGCTTTCTTTCCGTCGTCTCCGGTCTCGACCCAGAAACGATCGCCCTTACCGGAGTACTCCAGTAAGGGCGCCGTTCGTCGATTGCGGAGGCGGAAATATGTCACCGGCCAGAAAAATCTAGCGAGTGGCGAGACGTAACTTTCCCGGCTGTCACCACATTTCATTTGAAAACTGACTTTTGTATTATTAATGGTAATTAAGGACCGGATTTTTATGTAAAATCCTATTTTCTCCGAAAAGATATTGCGTAAAAAACAAATTTCGAGTGACGTCGCACTTATTATAATTATAAAGCGTACCGAAGGACATTTGAAGGTTCCATGGGAGCACATTTCTGGTTTTCTTCTCGGCTACGACATATTTTTCAAATCGACTGGATCGAAGGTTTTTGCACTAATTTTAGATTTGAAACCGTCTCCGGCTAAAGTAGAAACGGGAAATTTATGTTAAACAGACAAGAGGCCGACCCTGCAATATCCAATGCTAGCAGTTTCTTCGGTCTGTTACTATTTGACCAGTAATGTAACAGTTAGGTCTGTTACATTAATTCTCTATGGACGAGTAGTGTTTAACGTTATTTTATTATTATATTATATTCAAACCTGTAATTGCGGCTTCCTGTACATCAGTTTAGTAAATAAATAAAATTGAAATCGAATGTAGAACTCCACGTTTGTAGTTATAATTTGCATTATTATGTTTATAGCTACTGTTACAGTTATAACAGCTTTTCTCTGCAGAAAATTTGTCTTTACTGTTTTAGACAGATTCCTTAAGCTTATATTATATAAAAGCGAGCTTAGTAGCTGAATATAGAGCATACCTGGCAAAATTCGGAGTAAATATATTCTGACGAATAACGAGGTTCTTCTATGTCGACCCTGCAACCGGACCAATTTGTGCAAAAAACGGTGGAAAGATATTTGGCACAGCTTCTCTCTCACTTGGCTGCGTTACACCATAAAGACAGGTAAACAATTTTATATGCCGACAGAAATAAACCCCAATCATCAAAGTTTTCATTTTTAGGAGATGTGTGCCGCTGTAATCAGTTTCGATATCCCCGGTAAAGTAAAAAAACAAAGAATTCGAAGGATTCCTGGGGAAATACGGACTTTAATACACGATTAATTAAGTTCAAGACAGGCTGAAAAGAAACGGCCAACTTTATCGAATTGCGTGTAGTAAACGTTATTGCCGGAGCAGCGGATTGACAATTAATACTAGAGAGGAGCTAACGAAGAAACATTTAAAATACATATGGCATTTGTTAAACAAAGTAGTCACTCGACAATTTCCTAACCAGCTAACGACGAATTGCATATTCTATGGCCTGCGAGGATCCAATACGAAAGGGTACTTCTTTTTCTAACACACACCTCACTCTATACGACAAAAAGCTGCAGTGGTTCGTTGTCCTATGAACAAAAAGGGAAATTTCCGGGGGCAGGGCCCCCGCCGCCCTACGGATCTCGAGGGCGTGCAGAACTGTGTCTACAGAGGCAGCCCTGGTCCCAGCCGGGCTGCTTCCGTTGCCTCTGGTAGTCAGCCAAGAGGCAGCCTTCTACCGAACAACAGTGGAAGATATAGAGGCTAAGCACTGTAATCAGATGTACCCGGTCAGACTAAAACATCAGATAGATATATTAAGAGTCCACTCTGCCTACAGGATTGGACTAGACTGGGATGTCGGTGAACCGGCAAATATCAGTGTTGAAATATACACCGATGGCTCAAAGGATGGCAGCTCATTAGGTGCCGCGTTCTGCGTTTACTGTGACGGAGTTCATATGTACAGTCAGTCAGTCAGACTGAACGAGGAGGCGTCTGTGTTCCAGGCAGAACTGGTGGCCCTGGAGGGGCGTCTCAGTGAATCCTATTACACCGGGGTCCAGAGTCGGTCACAGTCTACTCTGATAGCCAGTCGTCGCTTTAGGCCTTGAGCGACGGGTACCATCGCGATCTGCTGGTACACGAGATCAGACGTAAAATACTGAGGGCGAGGCACGAACGACACGTTGCCTGCGATGGGTCCGAAGCCACATCGGAATCCCGGGCAACGAACGTGCCGATCAGCTGGCAAAGGCGGGAGCCAGTGGCCCATTTTAAATGAGGACGGTAGAACCCTCGACTACATACATAAAAGGTACCCTGCTAAGACGATCAATGACGTACTGGCAAGAGCACTGGAATCAAAGTACGGTAGGTAGGTCGACCTATGCCTTCGTACCTGAAGTTGGCAGAACTCCAGTTAGTTGTGACTTCAGACTGACGCAAATACTGACCGGTCACGGGAGGTTTCCCCACTTCAAGTCCAAGTTCGGACAAGAAGATGGTAACTGCTCCTGTAGGTGTCCTCCCAGCGACACGAGACACAATGTACTTGACTGTCCTCTTACAGAGGACTTCCGCCTAGGGGCCGACCAAGTTGATTGGAGCAAGCCCCCTGAACAAGTACTTCGAAGGCTAGCAGCTAATAAAAGAAACTTAAAGAAACTAAAGGATTTGATGGGAAAAGTTGTAGATCTTCTGGACCTTTAGGGTCCCTCCTTAGGGAGAGGACCCCTCTGTCCACTATTTCTAAAGTTATGTTTATACGAGCCAAGTTTTGTGGATGTAGTGCAGTACAGGCTGCACAATATAAAAGTTATGCCAAGTTAGAGGGCTGGGCCGGGGTATGGATGAGACCCCGAAATAAATATCATATAGCCCAGTTATGTCGTTCCTGTCTACCTTGTCAGGTATCCGACCACCTTATGATTAAGGCATAGTCTCTTTAACCCTGTAGTGCCATTATGCGGGGTAGGGAAGGAGTTGCTTTATGAGGCAGGGAACCAAAAAAAATGTCCAAAGCCTACACCGTACACGAGGTCCTAATTCAAATCTGTCCAGTCACCCGAAAGTGGGAGAGACGTCACGTCGAATGTTTTTTTTAATCCGACAACCTTCGTACCACGTGCACGGATCGTGCATTAAATCGAATTCGAAAAAGGATGCAAAAGTTTTTTAAACATTAATAAATTAATTTCAAGCGCGAAAAAAGTATTTTGAAGCCGCATTGGAGAGGACAGGAGTTTGTACGGCATCCCATTTGCTCCCTAACCCGTAATAACCGTACCGGATAGCAGACAGATGCCAATAATTACAAAGTAATTTATCAAAGCTAATGGGGACGTAAAGAGAATCATTTGGATGCAGCGGGAAGAGTCAAAACAAATTTTGAACATTGGAAGAAAGGATGGCGTAACTAGAAAAATATAGAAAAATTCGAATTTGTTATATTTTAAATAAAATTAAAAGACGGAGAAGTTTTAAGAGAGCCAGCCAAAATCTTAAGACATTAGTTTTTGCTCCCGTCAAAAGTAACACTACGCAGAGACAACAAACATCTCTGTTGTCTCTGCATAATATTTTGCAAAATTATATTCTGTGTAATCGATTTCATTTTAAAAATCAACTATTATAAATAAAGTGAAATTAATCAAAACATGTTTAAGATGGTTCATTTTTTGACAATATTTTCCATTTTCAGGATCATAATTATCCGGTCCTTATTTGTAATAAATAAATAAATAAATAAAATTGCGGGTGTCGCACCCGTTATGAAATTTTGTTATAGAAACCTTTCTGGTTTTAGCCATTATAAAATGGCAAAAAGATTCATTTCCAGGAGGTGACGAGTTTTATAAAAAATTTGTCAACGCAAATAACGAATAACGTCTGGGTTAAGTCCGACCCCTTTCGAGATTGGACACGTCGGTCTCCCAAGAAAATTTAACGGCATGTCCCTGGCCACAAGCTTCCGGGCCAAATTTCTTAATCTTTACTCCGTCCCGACGTCAAACGAAACGGATGCCAACACACACGTGCGG